AATCACACCTTTTGCACTAAAAATTGAGCAGTTTCTTGGAACTAGACATACAAATTGTAGATTTTTTGCACAAAGGGTATTTTTATAATGCTAACCCACATATTCAGACATTAAAACAGGAAGCCAAACTATCTGAGCCCTAGAAAAAAGGAAACTGGCCAGAAAACTGAAATTTGAAAAAATGCCTTGTGAGGAAGCATGACTGATCTGAAGCAACATCTTAGATAATTAAAAAGGGTTGTGGTCTCAAGAGAAGTTTTTCTACCAAGTATACAATCAAAAAGTTCTGTTCAAAGAGAACAGGAAAGCGCACACTGCATGATTCCCAGAGATATGAGTACTTGTCTCTTCATCTCCTCACAGGTTATATACCCGAGAAAAATAAATGAAGTATCAATTCAAATCAAAGAGCACAATAGAACAAAAATGTCTCAAGATGCAATATGAAGCTGAGGAACCCCAATACTTTTAAATGATATTTTCCTGTAGTTACGTCCCAAAGTGTGTGGTCCATGTGTGTTTTATTGCTATGTTCCTCACTTCCTGACCTTGATTGTTCTCCCTCCCCCATTGGTCCCTCATTACACCATTGTTTCCGTGTGACATCATCATCAATCAGCTTCTCGGCCAATCACAACTCGGCTTATTTAGTATATAACTTGGAGGGTTTCTGAAGGAAGGGGCCTTTCATCTGACTTTGGTCCCACTTGGCTCAGTTTCGTTTCGCTTTTGGTTTTTTGCGTCGGCTTCGCTTCGATCGTGTGTGTTTTCGTATAGCTTCGGCTTTGTTGTTTTCTTGATTTGTGTCCATCTCTTTGTACTTTCGTTTGTTTGTGTTATCCTTTATTTAGCCATTACCTTGTACAAACATACTGTATCAACCTCTGTTTTCTTTTGTACTTTGTTATTTGTCTACTCTCGTTTGTATTCATAGCTCACTTGTGTATTTGTGTGAACTTTTGTGTATAGTGTTAGTTTAGGTTGTTGGGTACATTCTACACCCGTAGTTGATTCTTGTATTAGTAACATTAGTTTAGTAAGGGTGAGTGCCTTTTGTCTTGTATGGTTTTGGGTAGTTAGTGAAGGTTAGCTAGGGCTTTTGAAGACCCCGAAGACTGAGTGTTTTGGGTTTTCTTTTATAGTCAGGTTAGCTTTCCCTCACTTTCTTAGCCAGCTCCATTCTGTTTGTTGTTTTCTTTTCTTTGCCACCACTCTATATCCTTTTCACTATGTTATTGTGTTTATTACGTACCAGTCACTTATTCACCTTAAAATAATCACTTTTGCACCAAAACTAGTTGTAACGCTTCCTAGTCCCTCACCAGAACTCACCTGCATCCAAAAACTATCCTAAATCTTACACCCCTTTACCCCTAGACACTTGGGGTCGTAACACCTGTATAAAACAGAAAATAAACTACTGGAATTATAGTATTGTAAAAATTGTCCAGGTTTATCAAATGGCTCAACCGATATAGGCTGAGGCCTATAGTCCAGACTTAGCTGGTTCAGGTCTAAACTGTGCCATTAGACTGCTGTGACGGGGATCCCTCTAGTGACAGGCAACAATTACTCTTTTTGATGCCGTGTCTGGTACTGTCGCAATGGGTGTGAAGGTGGTAGCTGTGTTAACAGTGTAGGCTGTAAGGGACTCATGTCTTCATTGTTCCTGTGATTTTATCAAGAACACAGCGCAGAGAAGACTTGATCAACAGTTAGCGCTCTCAAATTGGGGGAAGAACAGAAAACACACAAAGTAACATGTTCGAAATTTAAAAATAACACCAGACATTTGAGTATTCAACACACCCATGAGGAAACTGTGAAAAGAATTTAGCCTAAATCCCATGAACTCACGACAACTGAGTTAAGAAAAATGTATAGATAGGAAGTCAACAGAAGACAGTGTACTGGAACAGTCACCTTCACAAATGTTATTATATAGATGAGCAGCAACAGAGAATGGTTTTATGCTCAATATTATACCGACCAATAGGTCCATGGGTAAAAAATGAGAAAGTGCAGACTACATTGTGGCCTAAATAAATTGAAACCATAGTAGGAAAGCTGTCAGACGGAAACAATGCACATACATTTCACATATTTACATTTCATAGCACAAAAGACCAAAGTGACACTGCAGCTTTCCACTGGCAGTAATTGCCTAGTTCAGTATGAAAATAACACCACCCTGCTACCACACGATATCCGTTGTGTCTGTAACACGACACCTTGACAGACCAAAGCACACTAAGGCTCGGGCTTTCTCCATCAGTAATATAGGGTTACACTCTTACAGGGTCCTATAGCAAAGGAGGAATATAATGTAAAAATAATGCCTCAACAGTGCCAGACCACAATTATCCGTTCGTCTTCCTCACCCTGAACCTCAATTAACTTGTGCAGCCCAATTGGCCCGTTCCTCAGGGTGCTTCATTATAAATTCTGCATTTCTGTGCTTCACTCACAGCAGTGTGTGGACAATTGATAAATGACAGAACAGCCTGCAGACTGTAGATTAGGATGCTGGGGCTTTAACCGATTTGCTCCGTCTCAGAGTAATTTCTGTCTTGCAATTCCCAAATGGCGATTACATAAGGATAATCTGATGCGCCAAATCTAGCATAGAAATATATAACGGGTGGAAAGGACTTTTTTTTAATTTGAGACCTGCCTTATGCCTTTTTAAAAAAAATACCCAATCCTATTCATTTGACTTCCATGTAAGAGATTTTCTTCAAAAATATAGATTTTCTGAACCGCTCTCCCCACAAGATGTGAAGCAGTCCCTCCTAGAAATGTCTAATTCATTTCCATCAAAATGGAGACATGGAACACTGCAATTCAGGAGAAATCCCCCCTACCCCAGCATCAACCACAAGGCAATGGAGAATGGAGGGTGCTGACAAGCAGGCGACAAAAGGGAGACCTATGCTGTGGCATTAAGCACAATTAAACTGAAAATGACATCCAACAGACTAGAGCACAAATCCAGATAGAGACCAAAGTTGGTTCAATTTCAAGGGAGTACAAATTATGAAAAAGATTCCCCAAAAAAACATGAATCATACTATTGTAAAACTATATTTATAGCAAATGCCCAAAAGCAGTAGTAAAAAACTCCAAAATTGGTCCTGATGCCTTCTGAGCAGCACTATCACGTCTAATGAAGCATCTGCATCTTTAGATGTCACAGAATTCTCCTCACTGAAACGCCAGAGCCAGGCGATCAGGTCTGCAGTCAGTACAGACGCAGTTGCCAACACAATTCTTACACCTGTCTCAAAACCAGCCACCCTGCAAGGACACTGACGCATTTCACAGGCAACAAAGACTGGGACTTGGGTGCTCAGGCTGTAACCAAGCGAGGTTTAAAGCAGAAGAGGTCAGGAAAGGTTCACAGAAAAAAAAAGCCTTACATCTAGAACGCCACAAGAATATTCTGTGGTGCAACCCGTGAATGCACAGCTGAATTCCAAACAGTGCTTACAGTATTTTTTTTTTAAATTGTGGAAAATGCAGCTACCCTACTTTGGAAAAAAAAAGGCGAGAGAAAACTATAAACCAATACCTTTAAAGCAACCTTTAAAACATGCACCATATTATAAAGTACTATTTCAACTTCAACAAGAGTGCAAGAGTCTAGTTTAAAGGCCCCAAACTTCTTAATATCTTTAATATTAATGGGAGGTCATGCAGAGGGGCTGTACGGAAAACTTCGAGTTTCTAGGGCACTTTTATAGATTTATATGGGCCACAATAACGTCTGTGTCTGTTATATTCAATCCGGTAGCATGTTCGATATTGTACATACGAACATGGAAGAGTCCCAGCGGTTAATTAATGACAGACGTTTTTAACGTCACTTGCTTGGGAAAGCAGCAGATACGTTACATGTGAATGGGGATTCCGTTTAGCACTGTTCCGAAATGTAGCTTAATAAATACGTGGGTTGAATTTTTTATGTAAGTTTTTTTTATCACGAACAAAAAGAACGATGCCATTTTATGTACATTAACAAATCGCTGCATGTAGAATATTGCATGATTTTGTAGAAGAATGTCTCGGACTCGCAGATTCGCTGTAATGCCCCACTGACATTGTATTAACGTGGTAGTGATCTAATACACTAACATCACTTTCAGTTTCCAGTTTAAAACTTCTGATGGCGATTTATTTACTGTACCTACTGAGAACCTCTCTTAAGAAAGGGGACACTACGTCTAAAATTGTAAATTTCATCCGAACGTGGTTCATTCCACGAGAAAGCGATCAGGATATGCTTATTACAACAGAACAGGGTTATTTATTTAGACCTTTGTTCAAACATCCTTTTTCCTGTAATTATGAATATACAGACCAACGTAACAAAATTAAGTTCTCGTCTTAATTTATCAAAATTATATTCAGCTGTTTAAATAAAACATAATTAAATCCTGATGTAAATAACTTCATATAGTGCTCAACTGAAGCGTGTTTTCCGCTTTCAACCAAAAGGATCCTGGTGCGATTGTTTCGTTTCTTTCGTTAAAATGTACCACGACAGACAGGCTATTAAACATACACTAGCCTAACCCTCCGTTTTCAGGTAGATTTCAGGTAAATTAAGATGTGGCAACATATTTCGAGAAATCTTTAGAAACTATAAAAATCGTCTGCCGTAGTATGTTATCACAACAGGGCTCAAGTGCACGTATATCTCTTTAGTTTAAGAACATAATCGCTACAAGAGAGTAACATATTCATAGACGCAAAACATTCTTCTTGGAAACCCACAGAAAACAGATTTACATTATTGACATAGATATTTTAAACCAGATCAACAAGAAAATAAATAAACACCGATATCCATTAAAAGACATCAAATAACACGGATGGTTCAGTACAGAGACAGGATTTTGAATGCAACTAGAGAAAGTCGGCGTATTGTTCTTTCATTCAGCGATACATTGTAGCATTGTTGTGTCGAAACACGTAAACACGAAGAAATTGCGACTTACCAAAAACGTGTTTTTTTAACAATCGGATTTCCCGACCTCGATGTTGCTACGGAGGCCGGATGCCGTCCTCACAAACAGTAGTTTCGTCTTGGGATTCGTTGCTTTTTATCGCAGACTCACTTTAATCCGAGGAGAAAAACTCCGCCAAACATGGCTTGTACAACTCCAGATCGCTCCTACCGGAATCAAAACGCCGAGCTGAAATTTCGGTTATGCTGCCTGATACGCGTTACGGATGAAACTCCCACTGCTGGTCTTTAAGCAGACCTTGCGGTTTGAAAGCTGCTGGTATTCGTGAGTAATCCAGGAGAGAAGGGAAGACTGACTCCCCACATATTGACGCCTCCGCCTCAGAGTGACATCGAGAAGAATTCAGCTACTAAATAATTCTAGGCGGCTCAGTGGCACAGCGAGCAGCGCCGCCTATCACCTCGGTATGTGCAGAGCACAGCACAAAGCAATGGCTGTTGAACAGCGACCCCTGGTGTGCAGAGCCTTCCACGAAGGTACGCGTCGATCAGCACACGTGTACGTCCTGTATTGCGCCCAAGCCACGTCTTGCTAAAGAAAAAAAAACCCCGTCTTGCTCAAGTACAAGTGCGTAAGAACGAAAGTGATATCTTGTGTGAGAAGATTTATTTTCCTATTCCTCTTTGGGCTTCAGTTTGAAGGCGGATCTGTGCATCTTTGAGTTGTATGCGTAAGGTTGCAAATAGATACATTTGCAAATATATACAAACATTTCTTCTTCCTTTTCTTCTGATTATTATTATTATTATTATTAATAATAATGATCATTAATAATTGCTTACACTTATATAACGCTTTCCTGGACACAACAATCATAGTGCTTTACAGGTAATGGGGACCCCCCTCCACCACCACCAATGTGCAGCCCCACCTGGATGATGCGATGGCAGCCGTAGTGCACCAGTACACCCGCCACACATCAGCTATCAGTGGGGAGGAGAGCAGAGTAATGAAGCCAATTATTATTAGTAGTAGTAATAGTTGTAGTGGTGGTGGTGAAATTGGTATTGGCAATATGCACAAAGATATTATCAGAACTATGTATACATTACTTCAGATAAAGAATAAAGATTTCCAAACTTTATCAAGTGGCCAGCTCAGATGTATTTGTTTTTAACCTTCAAAGAGAGAAAGCCATTTGATTGGTGCATACTGAATGAAACCTCAGGGCTTATGGAACATGCACTTTGCAGAAAAGCACTGTAGGACATCACCACTTTGCAATGAAACAGATGTGGCAGAGGATTGAAGGAATGACCGTGCATGTTGAAGCAAGAAATGTTCATTAGCTTTCAGCCGAAAGTTAGCTTTCACTGCCCCTTACTTCAAAGGAAAACAAGTAAATTAAACTTGCCATTTTATGTAAAGTCACAAAACAAACTCCACATGCCTCCATGTGCTTAAAAGTTTCTGGTCAGGTTGAGGGAGCGCAAAATAAATACCTTCTCACTACTTATTTATGGACACTCTGCATGGGTCCTGCTTAACATTTCCAGTTAATTTAGGTCATACGGACTTCTTTTCAATAGGGTTTTTTTTTTTACAAAGCACCGTACAGTGTTTTGTGTGGATTCTGATTTTTCTGACGCAGTTACTGCCCTTGGCGGAGTCCTGAGTGGTTCAGCACAGGATCATTAATCACCGTTCTCGGCTGCACTTTAAGGTTCACAAGCTAGAGAGACAGGCTTTATTTTGTTTTGAGTCATCACTCGTCTCCTCTTTCGGTGCCTCAATTAGCTTGTCCATGTTGGCTTGCAAATGATTCCATTAATCCCCATAATTTCTCCCAAACTAAACTTTTCAAACTGTGTTTCTGTATGAAAACATGTATAGATATTTAATATGAGTTCATATTTTGTACACTTTCTTCAGCAGCACGTATCAGTTCATGATAAATTTATTGTAAACACATTGCAAAGGTTCTAAATGAGAAGAGGCCGCTTGGCCCATCTGGCCTGTTTGATAATTTATTGCTTATTGATCCAAAGATCTCATCAAGCCATATGCATGAGGTTACCGATGTATCGACTTCAACTAGATGGCTGTCCAGACTCCTGTAATCCTTTGGGCAAAGACAGGCCTCCTGTTCTTGGTTTTAGAATTATTTTAGAAAGTATTTTCATGTTGTTTCACCTTGCATCTTTCTAGTTCCTGTTTTGCTGTTCTGATGAAGCCCTTTGTGAGTTTTAATACTAGTATCAGGTCCCCTTGCAGTCTGCTCTGTTCAGGACTAGAAGGATTCAGTCCTTTCAGCCTGTCGGTATAGCGCAGTCTTTTAATTCCTGCTATGCCTCTGATTGCTGTTCTTGGGACTGAGTCAAGGGCAGCAATAATATTTTGTTACACGTGGACAAACATTTTACACCACATCCTAAACGAGGCCCAACTACTTCATTGTACACTTTTAACATAACACTTAACACTTTTGACTATAAAGCATAAAATATTGTTTGCTCTCTATTGCTTCTCCACATTATCTGGGAGATGTAAATGATTAGTCAAAATAAACACCAAACTCTTTTTCACAAGCAGCCTCTTCTTGGTCATTGTTGCATATTTTGTATTTATAGTTAATAATTTTCTCGATGATAACCTGCTACAGTTTGCTAATGACCTAAAACTTGGATGAAACTTTCTATCAGGTTTTAAGGGTAAATAAAAAACCAGTGTCTTCTGAAAGTATTCAGCTTCTTCCTATGGTATCCTATTTTGTGAAATTACTTTATGATGCCTAAAGTTTATGCAGATAGTTTATGCAGACTTTTCACTTAATACTTTAGGCAAAACATGAATGCTCAAACTAAAGACTTCTAAGGCCAAGATAGTTAAATGTAAGCAAATACTGAAAAGAAAAACTAAAATATGGTGGGTCTATAAGTATTAAGACCTGTGAGCCCAATATCTGGTGGAAGTACTTACAACATATTGCAGCAATTACAGGCACCATTACATCAAGTCTTTTTGGGTAAGTCTCTACCAACCTACCAACCAGCTTGGTGCAATTGTTGCCCATTCGTCTTGAGAGATGTTTGAGCAAATCTGCCAAGTATCTTGGGTATCACTTAAGGACTACAGCATTCAAATCTTTACACAGATTCTCAAAGGGATTCAAGTCAGGATTTTGACTGGGCCACTCGACATTATTTCCCAATGCTTAAGCCTCTCCAGTGTATATTTGCTCTTGTGCTTTACATCGTTGTATTTGTGAAAGGTCATGTTTAGTCCCAGTTTTAAGGCTCCAGCAGACTGAAACAGGTTTCCCTCTAGTCTGTACCTTGCTCCAACACTCTTTTTTTCCTTCTTGCTCATCTCCACAGCATAATGTTCCGACCACCTTGCTTGGCCATAGGGATGGTATTGACTGAGCAAATGCACTGTGCTGGGTTTACTTTGAAAGTTAAGCTTGGTATTTAGTCCAAGAAGTTCTCATTTTGTCTCTTCTGACCAGAGAACCTTCATGCAGATTTTGAGCTGGTTTGTTTATGGCTTGTATTATGCTTTCAATACAACGTCTTCCTTCTTGCCACCCTACCATACAGGCCAATTTTGTGAATTGTTTTGAATATTTTTCATCTATTTTCTTTACATCAGCCATTGAACTCTGTAGCTTAAGGAGTTGATGTTGGACTCACAGTGGCGTCCCTCACCAATTTACTACGTCTCAAACTCCTCAGTTTGAAGGGCCTGATCTAAGCAGTGTCTGGGTCATATGAAGCATTTCTTAATTCTTAATTATTGTGTAGATTAAATAGCACAGAGATATTCAGAGAGCTGAATATTTGTGTACCTTTCTCTTGATTTAATTACATTTTTCCCTGACGTGTTTTGAAAGATCTTTAGTCTTCAAGGCTAAGGCTGAGCCTTTGCTTGAAATTCACTGCCTGATCAAGAAACTTCCCCAGAGACCCGTGTGTTTATCATGAAACCACGAGAGCCACCATTTTTGCACACAGCCAGAGGCCTCTTAACTTCTGCTGTGACTTATTTAATTAATTGTATGCACCAAAATTAATTAAGGATTCCCAAAGCAAAGGTTTTTTATACCCTTTACAAATATACAAATATTAATACAGTAGCTACTCCAAAGTGTCATGACATATCATAAGGTTTTAAACCAACAAAATGTGAAAATTGTACAAGGGTCTGCATATTTGTGTAAGCTACTGTAAATATGATATAAAATCTGTAACTAATAAGGATCACTGACACAGCTTTGTTATCATTATTGAAGTGGATAGAAGATGTGGGGGTACTAACAGCAATTGATATACTGTATATATTTGAATTGTGCTATTGTTTTGTGCTCTTTAGGAAGCTTTTCATAATACTGTCATGACATGCACTGGTGGAAAGAGTAGAGGGTACTGGCACCATAATTTCATTTTCCCCTTTTTTTAAAAGCTAAAATACTTATGTAAACAAGTCATGTAAACAATATGCTAAAGACAACTGTCAGGACACCATTGTCAGCTGGTTCCTAAATATCTATCGTTCACATCATTTCAGCTAATATTTTATTGAGAGAAATATAAAGAGTAAGGACTGCATCATACTGTAGCAGCTGGTAAGTGTTACTTACTGTACTTTAACAATACAGAGAAACATTACATAGCGTTTTGTGATCCATGTCTGATTTTATCACAGTCCTCTCGAGGGAAGCCTGACCTGTGTGTAGGACTGAAGTAAGAACTTTGACAACCTGTGATTTAAATAGGCCATTACAGTCAGACAAGTGAAGACTTTTAACTCTAACAGCAGACAGATCTCAAGAGGGCTGAGCCTGCAGACAGTCGTGCCACAAACGTGTGATTTGCCAGACCTGGACCTTGACAGGTGACACAAACTGTATGTGAACAAAAGGAGAGGAGCATTTACAGAAGCCTGTATCTCAAAGGCAAGGGTACTTTTTCTGCTTTTGACTGTATAGAGAATTACTGTTCATTTGGAGAGAATGATATTTCACATGTGCACTGGAAGCCCTAAGGTAAACAGAATGGATCATTCATGCTGTGAACAGGAGCTTAGGGACTGAATGTTGTCAATCAATGGCAATTGCAAGGATGTCAATTATGCATGCCCACATGTGGGTTGCAATTAGAGAGCAGCTCATCAGGGCATTTGGACCTATCTGTGAGGTCACTAAAGGAGACGGCATGCAGGACTTTCTTTACTATCAGAAGGATGCTCTACAATATCAGTGGCCCCACAGATATCCAGCTACGAATATTTGAAAGTTTAATCCAAACCACTGTTTTACATGGGAGAATAGTAAGGGGTCCAATCTAAGACCAGGATTGTAGTGGTGGCTCTGTGGCTAAGGATCTGTGCCTATGACTGCAAGGTTGCTGGTTCAAATCCTGCAGCTGGCAGAGGAATCCTACTCTGTTGGGCCCCTGAGCAAGGCCCTTAACCCTAACTGCTCCAAGGGTGCTGTACAATGGCTTACCCTGTGCTCTGACCCCAAGCTTCTCTCCCTGTCTGTGTCTCCATGGAGAAAAGCTGGGGTATGTGAAAAGATGAATTCCTAATGCAATAAATTGTATAGGGCTAATAAAGAAATATTATTATTATTATTATTATTATTACAGCATGCCACCCACCATGAAGGGAGGTGATATGGACCCAAGAGCAAGGGCATCACAGTCCAGGGGGGGTATTTACATTAGGGAAGGAAACAGGACAGAAAGTCAAGGACAGGGCAGGGCTGGTCGGCCTGTGCCTGGAGCCGGACAGGACAGGGCGCACGCTGTTGTCGTCCACCAGGGGGCACACCAGGGACTGGGCTGAATGGGGCACAAGCTCCCAGGGGGTCTCGTCCAATCAGCGGGGCTGTCAGGGCAGACTGGACAGGCGCGGCAGGGACCAGGCCGGGCAGTGTGCCCACTGAGGTCCAGGTGCAGTGCACTGTCCCAGGGACAAGCCAGGACAAGGGGGCAGGCAGGCCGAAGCACAGTCCTGATGCCGGGCAGGAGCGCAGACTGGGCTGGAGGGTCAGCTCCCAGAGCCGGCCTGGATGGACGGTGAACCAGATGCTGAACTGGGCCTGGGTGGAACAAGAGCACACTGTCAGAACAGGTCGCAGAGGGCACTCCCAGGACCGGGCTGAGCAGGGTGTGAGCTGTCAGGGAGGTGTTCTCCTGCGGCCGGGCAGAACAAACACACACAGTCAGAGCGGGTCACAGAGGGTGTGCTCTGGACCAGGCTGAGCAGTGCGCCCCTCGAGGCCCGGTTCCGGCGCAACGCCCCGGCCACAGTGCCACCCCCAGCAGGCTGGACCTGCTCTGGAGGGCACAGCGACAGACAGGGTCCCCAGGTGGATTCCGGGTATGTCAGGGAGCAGGACAAAGGGGCGGGGCTGGAACAACAGCTACAGCACACCCCGCCACCACAGCAGGGCCGACGTAACAAGGATTACACAAAAAGGGGCGAACATCCCATAGAAGAGTTATGTAAGAACAGTTTTCACGTGCAACGAAAAACACAAAAAATAGGCCAGAATTAGGCAGACACTCATGGCTAATTAATGTAAAGAAGACAGTCACAGCGATAAAATATTGGGTACACCTAGAAGGGAGTGTCCACAAGTTCTGCCATCACAGGGCCCAGTAAAGAGCGGAACTCAGAGAAAAAATGCCTCAGCCATCTGGTCCTGAAGATCACGAGACACACCGACACCGGCCAGCCTCAGGACAGAACTGCCAAAACAATTCAGGCACGTTACAGCACAAACAATCAACCTTACCCACTGGAACACACATACTGTACAAACACAACACAGACTGCAAGGATGCCAAGACCTAAAAAAGGGAAAATATCTCATCAGGGAGAGAAAGGACAAGGTGAAACAGACACAGACCAAGCACAGGCTCAATGGCCACAAACATTGGCCAACATGGGCAGGTCTGGAGGATTAGGCTACTTGGCTGATGTTAGGAAGAAGTGGAGACAGAGAATGTACTTTCTGTTACATTGTAAATCATAGTTGAGGATTAAGCAACTATTCTTAAAACAATGAATCAAATCCCAGAATTCCTGTACCTGCCAGAATCACAACAAGAAGCAATCTTACTTGGGGAGAGGGGAGGGAACGTCACAGTACTGACAGCTCTGCATGTGATCTCCTGGCACAGCCTGGGGAACAGAGAAAGAGAAGTTCAAACAGTACAATTTATGTTACTGGATTGTTGTACATGTTTGTAAATGTCCTGCTGATTCCTGTTGATCTGGCAATACTGTAACACAGCAGCCATGGCATAATTCAATAAAACCTTTTGAATTTTATAAATTAGTAACTTAAGATGTGTAGTTTCTGATCTCATCCACAGCTGGCACATATGGCATTGTGTTCGTTTAGCAACTACATTACCTACTTACTGTATATTATACAGTACTTGTATAATTTACTAGTACTTTGAACGGGGTGGTTGTATGCACAGATTTCATAAACATACATTAAAAGACAGTCATTGAATTTTATATTTGACGAGCCATGTTTCTAATTTAAACTTAATTTCTGCTCTAGATCGGTATAAAATACAATAAAGCGCCATTAGTAAACTAAATTATATGTCAATACTAAGTAGTATTTTTTAATTAAAAAATAAACAGCCCGTGTTGTTTTGATTGTGTATTTTTTAATTCACTCTAAAATTTTGTATATTAAAGCGGCTGTACTGGTTTAGTCACATGGTGTTACAGGCAACTTGGCAACAACTTGTTTTTCCGTAATGTCTACCTTAGACTTTGATCAGATGAGCACAAACTTAATGCTTTCAAACTGCAATCTGTAGGCGGAAACGGAGGGAGGAATTTTGCTGTGATTTATAACGGATATTTCGTTGTGTTATACAGAAATGTCTCGAGCCGCCGATCGACTCAAGAGAGTTATTCATCATTTGGATCGCCCGAGGCCCCAGCTTGTATCCTTTTCTTATGGCATTTGAGTAATACGAAAAAGAAACGAGCGAGACACACACCCCGTAATGTGTCGAGTCATTGTGGACACTGAGATATAAGCGAGCTCCAGGCATGGCACCACGGTGCCCAAAACAGGCCGCCTTGTCTTTCCAGTTTGCAGAAAACGCATTATATGTTTTAAATGATTTAAATGATTCTAACCATTATCGGTATTATTTCTGTTCTAACATTTTCTGCAGCGTAATCACGTAAAAATACGTAATTGGTTTATTGCAAATTTCCCAAAGCGAATAGACCCGTAATTTGTATTCGAGTAGTTTTTTTTGGCAGATGACATGTTTAAAGCTAGGTGATTTGTAATATTATTGTTAAATAGTGCTTTATAACCACCTTATCTACAATTATTTGTGTAGTAACTGGAAACCTGTTACTGTCAATTGTTAAGTTTTTGAATAATTATTTACTCTTGCGACACTGTTTTTTATAGGGATTAATATACAGTAGGGAGAACAAAGAAGTACAGGAGGATTATTTTAAAAGTTCATTGCACTGTACCTTGCTAGGAAAAGAGTACTGAAAATAGATGGGTACAATACAGTCAGGTACCAATAGTGTGTTTTAGATCTATAAGTTGCAATACAGTACAAGTTAAAACGTGTTTGTGAAAACACTGACCAAAGTTGTTATATTGCAAAGCCTTACTTTTTGTTGCTAGTAGTGATATTATTTGAATACAAGAAACGCAAACATACTGTAAGTACCCCTTTAATTAAAAAAAATGGAAACGGGAATACCAAAATAATGTATACCTAGTAAATACCTAGGAAAATGTGTTTTTACTAATAACCCAGACTTAGATGTCTTTTATTTACATATTTAGTATTACTAATGTATTTAGTAATAACTAGAATTGTATGTCTTTTAGTCACATAAAAGCACATATATTAACAGGTAGTTAGAGTGTACAGTATGTAGTCTAGGTGTTTGCACAGTTATAAAAATTCAGTTTATTCCATTAATCTTAACATTAAGACAAAGACAGTTTTTGACACGTCTGCACAATCGGTGTCATGTCACCATCCTTCAGCATTCCGGTAAGTTATGTAATCACCAGAGGTACTGTAAGAAGCGTATGGTTTTTAATACATTGCAAACATCAGGGGTGTCCAGTCCTGCTCCTGGAGGTCTAGGGTATCTGTAAGTGTCAAATCCCTTCAAAACAGCAGCACCTGAGGCTTCTGGGTGAAACTGCTAGGTTGGCCATTTACCTCAGTAGCCAGCTGGTTTAGTTCTCTAAGAACATAAAAACACACAGGCACAGGAACCAGACTGAACTCCCCTGTTGTTGTACACTATGAGGATAACACCAGTGAAGTAACAGACATCTGTTCCCTGTTGCAGCTATACCCTGGACACGGACGTTCTGTCTCCTGAGCAGAGATTGTTTTATGAGTCAAACGGATATCTGCTCATTAAGAATCTGGTGTCTGATGAGGACATTGACAAGTTCAGGCAAGTTGAAACGACAGGCTGTGATTAATATTTGGAAATGTATGGCGCTATTTTTTTATATTTAACCTTTATACTGTACCAAGTTCAATAGTAGCAGTCTCCTGGCCCTTTTATTCGATATGTTTGTCACTTTCTCTTTCTCAGTTATTATTGAGGAATATAAGGAAACAGGGGCAGGAAAGTGGCACCGGTTAGTATGTCTGCCTCGTAGTGCTGGGGTCATGAGTTCAATTACTGGACTGGGGTGCGACTTGTGTGAAGTGTGTTTGTTCTGTCCGTGTTCACTGGGCTTCTCCAGTTTTCTCCCATATTGGGACATATTGGCAGGTTAATTGCTATCTGGGAAACCTCTGCCTGCCTGCCTGCCTGCCTGCCTGCCTGTCGTATTCTACCTTGTGCCTGTTGCTTGCCGGGATAGGCTCCTTCTCCCTTGTAAATCTTCATTGGGATAAGCAGTTGTGGATTGATACGACAAACTCAACCGGCTTTGCTAGTAAAATCAATGGGAGTGCCTCTTCTCAACACAGTAAGCTTTGCCATGCTCATCATGCTGGTCCAACATCTGCTAATACGTTATTTCTCTGCACACCACCGGAATTTGTAATTCCCAACAACTTGCTGAACACAGGGATTTCAAGGACATTCAATAAAGATGATAGCAAAAACAAGAGAGAGTCAAAGCCATGACATCTCCCAGATAAAGTACTGGTCCTTTCAAAAATTAATAGCAATTCTAGTATTTTTATCCTTTTTGTCTTTATTTTTATCACACATGTTTAAAACCTAGCCTTTTACATTTTTTACTTTAATAATGGGTGCAGGAGTTGTAGTATTTTTCCAAGCTCCCTTATAGTCTTAAATATACAACTACTACGTTATTTTATTACTTTTTTTTTCCAAATTACTTAAAGAAAACCAGAATGAGATACAGAACACGTCTTTGTAATCAGTCTAGCTAATGAAGCAATTCTCCTCCGGTATTTTCCCCTGTGACAAACTTCTAGATTGCAAAGGGGACAGGTCCGACACAGCTTCTTGTTCTGTTGTCTTCCAGAGAGGAGTTTGAGAAGATCTGCAGGAGGGAGGTTGAAGTACCTGGGCTGTTGGTGATGAGGGACATTGCCATTGCTAAATCCGAGTTTGTTCCTGACCAGAAAGCAGTGTCCAAACTACAGGACTTCCAGGACGACCCAGAACTCTTCAGATTCTGTACTCTTCCCCAGGTTAGTATGTGCGGCAGAGGTGGATGTGCACACATTGTGTTGTAATTATCGTGATCTTTACAATCAAGTGTACGGAAACTAGTTACTGATCTGAGCTCAGTCATCATGTTTCTGTTTGCAAGGAACAATTTTGAAACTACAGGAGTTTAACGCTGTGTTTATCGAATTTGTTTGTAACCTGCATCTTGATTGTACAACTTGTACAGTGTTTCCTGGATAAATTCCACAGTTCCCCCTTAATTAAGTGATGAAGTACTTTCTTACCTCTCCACGTGATGTGCTGTGGATGGCGAATAAAGGTTGCAGTATGTTAGTCAGGTGGGTGCTGCATTTCAGTGATTCATAAGTAAAACTTTGGGAAAAGTGTTATACAAGTACAAGCAACTGTTATTATTATAAAGTTGGGTTAGCAAAGCAAATATGGATAAAAACACACATAAACATAGAATGATTTGTAAAAATATTTGTAAAATTTTAAGTAGGAACAAAGCCTCACTTATAGAGCTGTAGCCTGCACTGTCTGACAGTGGGAATATGATAAGAAACAGCTTTGTTGGGCTTACTGTATATCTGCAAAGGCAAAGCCTAATTTCCAGAGAACTGAGAGCATAAATGATGTTTTACAGATTATTTTACAAGCAGTGTTGAAGATTAAAAATGGTGGTATTTTTATTTAAGATTTAATTTAATTAACTCCTAAGTGTACAGCCTTTGACGCAAGCAAAGGTCCCTCAGGGAACATACTAATACTGTTTTCACTCTGAACTGAGTCAAAGACGTCAAGTCCATTTTTAGTAAAAAATCTAGACAAACGTTCCTTTCCTTCAGACTCTGTTTTGTGCAATTTAGGCTAATCCCTTGCATTTCTCTTTTTAACTAATCCGTTGTGATGGACACACAGAGGTGTTTCAGGCCAAATAAACGACTTGCTGGATTTGTTGCTAATGTCGTATTCTGGACCCTAGGCAACACGTTAATCATATTCAATTCCATTTGCAGATCGTGAAGTATGTGGAGTGCTTTACAGGTCCAAACATCATGGCTATGCATACTATGCTGATCAATAAACCCCCTGACACAGGTGATGTCTGATGCTTGTTCATTCATGACATAAAGCTAACAATTGCTTACGTACTGTTATTTCCCAATGCCACAATCGTCGCTGTGAATAATTAAGTTTCATACTTTATTATCATAACAACTAATTGCATGGAATTTGGTTCAGTGAACTCATACAATTAAAGCCACACAATACAGATATACTACATAAAGCAGCATCTATTATCAGCTGGATTTGTATTTGATGTCTTTAATTATATGAAGTACATTCACAAGCCTTCCTAAACACACACCAGAAATAAAATAAGTAACAGTAAAACAAAGCGGTTTACCCCACAGCAGACGCTGGGTGGCGCAATTTTAATGGCAGGTTGTCCGCTCGTTTCAGGCAAGAAGACCTCCCGACACCCCATGCACCAGGACCTGCACTACTTCCCCTTCCGGCCCTCTGACCGCATCGTGTGTGCCTGGACGGCCATGGAGAGGGTGGACCGCAGCAACGGCTGCCTCGTGGTGCTGCCAGGGACTCACAGGGGGACCCTGAAACAGCACGACTACCCGGCATGGGAGGTGCGCTTCGCTGCTCGGCACTGGCCCCCCGCACAACATGTGTTTCACCCTTCCAGCCCTTCGAGCTGGCCCTCAGGGGTCTGTTGGGATCCAAGCGAGAGGGGCTGCGGTCACTTGGTTTCTCCCTGGCCTGTAGCCTTCTGGGCAAGAAGAAAAGAAACAATGTTTCGGCTGTGGAGCCTTTTCTCCCTTTTAGGTCTCCCGAAGAGGGCTCCACAGCCGAAACGTTGTTTCTTTTCTTCTCGTTTCAACATGGAGTGAACCTTTACTTGTGGGATGAAGTTGCCTCACTGCACCCTGCCCAGAAGGCTAAAGGCCAGGGAGAAACCTTTACTTGTTCCTTTGCAGCCTGTGCTCGCCGACGCAGGTACCCACCTGAACTACGTCAACTTCTTACTCTCTTTCAGCTGTGTAAATACCAGTGGCCAGCTACATAAAGTGTTTTTTAAGTTTAAGGGTGTTTTGCTCAAAGCACCTTATTAAACTGGAGGCTGTACGCTTGTTAAGGAAAGGAATGCAATATGTAATACTCACTGTGTTTAAATTCTCAAAGAGCACCCAGCGTCAGAGCTACTGTGCCCTTCTCTGTGTGTCTTTGTGTCCTCAGCAAAGCCTGGTAACCTAAGAAATGAGCTGTCCTTTCCCCGCTCACTTCATTTAGCTTTTAGCCCTCTTGAATGGGTTGTCATTTCATGTCCATTTTTGTCTCTCCCTCGTTACTCAGGGTGGCGTGAATAAGATGTACCATGGTGTTCAGGATTATAGCCCCGAGCATCCTAGAACGCATCTTGTAATGGAGAAAGGGGACACGGTGTTCTTCCACCCACTTTTAATCCATGGATCAGGGATGAACCGCACCCAGGGATTCAGGAAGGTAAGACCCACCGATGCGGTAATTTCAGCAACATTACTGCCTTTTAGCACTGCCTTTTGTAGACCAAGGTAAATAAAAGCTGAAAACCAGTATGAAAAGTTATTCTAAATATTGGAGTAGTGCCAAGAATGTGGTTGACTTTTTCCATATGTCTAAAGTATTTGCTATAATAGGGCCCATTCAACAAGAGACAGTCCTGCCTTTAGGGGCAAAAAATCCTAATGATTTTAGGAGATCCTAAAGCCTAATCAGTTTAGTCGGTGCCTTCTCAGCTGGGTGCCTGGCAACCAGAATCTAACCGAGTCCCGATTAATATTTAAAATGAGATCAAATCAGTCCAGCAACCTTGGGGATGCTGGCCAGGCCATGTCTTAAACCCCTGTTTGCTGACCCTGTTCAATAAAAGTAGTCGTAATAGTTCATTTATTGTAAGTATTTTGGTGGGAGTAAAATAAGGCTGGCAGAGAGTAAAGATTAATCTCAAGTCATGCTGACACAAGAACAGAAGAAAGCTTAAACACCACAGGAGGCCCTTTGGCCTGTCTAGCCTGCCTGTTACTGTATTTACAGTAGATAACTGCTCTGAGGACCTCATCATGCTGTTTCTTGAAAGACGCCTGGGACTCGCCTTCAGCCAACCATATGGCAGGATAGCCTTTTCCACATTCCCATTATCTATTGTCTAAAGAAGTGCCTCCTGCTCTTAGGTTGAACTGCATTTCCATGTAATTTTCACTGTCTAAGGCCATCAGATCAATTCTTTGAATTTCTGAACTTTCTGAATATTGGTGGTTATCCGTATGGATAAGGAGAAATTGTTCTTTTACAAATGGGATTGAATAGCAAAATGGGGAGAACAGGAGGAGGCGCTAGCTATATGTTGATTTGATTTCATTTGGTATAGTTTAGGAATGTTCAGTTACTGACTTCACCCTTCAGGTTAGCCGTACTTGATGTTGTTTGGTTGTATGGGGCTTTTGATTGTGATCACACTTTTGATCAAGGTATGGATTAAAAATAAAAAAGACAAAACAAGACAAGAACAAACAAAATGACGTTAAGAAGATAATATAGTATTTCCATAAAAGTCAGTCATGTAGTACAATGTAGTACAAACTGTCTGGTGTGTACTGTCGATGTTCACAAGACACAGTAGTGTTCCATATGGTCCCATCTGTATGTTGCTTCATTGCGCTCAGTTTTAGGAATACTGTTATTTGAATTGATCAAACAACCCTATAAGACTAATAATAAGTCTACAGTATAAGGTCTAACTCTATTAGCCTAATCCATATCAGTTGCCTATTGTTTCAGCCATTTTACATAAGAGAAGGAGCTATTTTTCCCATGGCTGTGTTTTTCCATGTAGTGTCTTAGGTAGACTGACCTGTAATTTATATGTATGTAATTAATTTCAGGTTCTGTATTCAAAGTAGCGAATAAAACTTAACACTCAGCAGATACCTGAATTTTGTTTCTAACACATCAACTCAGCACTGTATTTTGTTCTATATTTTCAGGCCATATCCTGTCATTATGCAAGTGCTGACTGTTACTATATTGATGTGAAGGGAACAACCCAGGAAAACATCGAAGAGGAAGTAAAGGGCATTGCTTTACGAAAGCATGGCCTAGGTGATGATATTACACTCAAGGTAAGAGCATTCACATCTATACTGAACACAAAACTGAGAGAATACTCTTACTGAGCACAAGAGAACTGATTCTACAGGAATACGTTTGGTTCACTTTTTTGATACCATTTGCTTTTCCATTATAACACAGAGTAGCAAATCATAATTTACCACAGATCACTGTACCAGATTCGTAGTACCACATATAACAACATATAACATTTATAAGACATCACAAAACATATTGCACACAAGTGAATTGTAAAGGTCAGAAATTGTGTTTATCCTTGCCATTTGCATTGCCAGCTTTAATGGATAGTGGAATAAAGGAATGTTTGTATCTGTTTGACTTACATTTGGGAACCCTAAAACGTTTGCCAGAAGGAAGATGTTGGTTTTTTGGATTTGGGGTTTTGGGAGGGTTCTGTTTTTTTTTTTTTGCCTGTTTCATTATGGCTTTTTCAAAGATTGTCCGCAGGGAGGGGTGCTTTTTCACACCCATGACCTTCAAAGCTGTTTGGACGAGACGGGTAATTTGCCATCTTAATTGAACTGATAAATTACCAAACCACACTGTTATTCCATATCTGATAATGCTCTCGATTACAGTATGGTAAAAGAGTAACATTATTTCCTGTATAACCCCAAACACTCTTAGTCTTCGCAAGAAATATAACCGCTGCTGAACTTTGAACACTCTCAACAGGAGTAGTCAAGCACAGGTTACTGTTGTTGTCTATGTGTACTCCTAAGTACTTATATGAATCAACCTGAGTGATAGGTTCGTTGTGGATTAATTCATGTGAGTGATCACCAACTGCTCTGGGATCAAAAACTATTTCTTTTGTTTTATTAACAATCATAAGTAGGCTCTTGATGTCGCACCATTGCACAAACCTTTGGATTTCTGACATGTACACAGATGAACTGCTTCCTCTATTCATTAAGCCAAGCACAGCTGTATCATCCGAGAATTTGAAAATGACGTTGATTTGACTAGTGCTCGTACAATTATTTGTATAAAGTGTGAACAGAACTGGAGAGCTCACACAGCCCTGAGGGGCACCTGTGCTAATGGATTGTGACTCCAAAAGAGTTTTATTAACCCTGACATACGGTTTGTTTAAAATGAGTGATACCATCTTATAATGTTATGGTTAAAAGGCATTGGGGTCCTCTAGGTGTTTAAGAATCAGATGCATAATGCTGTTAATTGCATAATCGGTGCCCTGCCGGTGTTTGTATGCACACTGATATGGATTCAGTACAGTGCTCACTTCTGAGCACAGCTTGGATACCATAATTCTCTTCAAACATTTCATAACAGATGTCAGTGCTAGCGGTCTGCAGTCATTATTATCTGAGGGACAGGGCTTTTTGGGTACTGGAACAATTATTGCTTTTTTCCACCGCGCTGGAACAGGGTGAGAGTCAACAGACTTCTGAAAGATGGGGCACCATGCTGGTGTTAATTCCTCAGCACAATTTTTTAAAAGAGAGGCAGAGATGCCATCAGGACCTGTTGCCTTTTTCGCACATATGTGCTTGAAAGATTGTGTGGTTGTCTGTGGACTTATTACAAGCCTACCAGTACTACTGTCAGCTGTGATAGTATCTAATATACTGTCACATGCACCAGAGAAGTCCTGTGGCTCAAACCTCAGATAAAAGTCATTCAGCTTGTTTGCTTTAGCCAGCTCATCCATTCGATGGAAGTTCTTCTTTGAAGAATTCATGTTTGTGAGTGTTTTCATTGTTTGGCACAGCCCCCTGGAGTTCATTGTTTCAAAGTCCCTCTCCATTGTCTTCTTCTTGTTCAAGTTCATGTTTATTTGTCAATCCAGGCATATAAAAGTATACAGAGGAGTGAGACGTCGTTCTCCAGGTCTATGGTGCGAATACAGACAAGACACTGACAAGACAATGCTATAGACAATGTAGACGTAGACATTTCTGACAGGGTACATAAAGTGCAATGTGCATAGTGCAATTTACAAGATTGTGCAAAGAATACTTTAGATAGTATGCCTGACATTAGGCAAAAAAGGACTAAGTTGGAGGAGCTTGTTGAGGAGCCTGACAGCCTGTGGAAAAAAGCTGTTACGGAGTCTGGTGGAGCTGGCCCGTATACTGCGATACCTTTTACCAGATGGTAGGAGGGCAAAGAGGTAGCAGGACGGGTGGGAGGAATCGTCCACAATACCGGAGGCTTTGTGTGTGCAGCGTTTGTGGTAGATGTCCTGAATGGACAGAAGGGGGGCTCCAATGATGTTTCCTGCTGTATTGACAATTCGTTGCAGTCTGAGACCTTACAATTCCCAAACCAAAGAGTGATACAGTTTGTCAAGATGCTCTCGACGGTACCTCTATAGAATGTGGATAGTATGGGGGGGGGGTTTGCCCTTCTCTGTCGTCGCGTGGAGAAGTGGAGAAGCTGTTGTGCTTTTTTAGCTAGGGAGGTGGTGTTGATGGTCCACGTGAGGTCACCTGTGATATACACACCAAGAAACATAGTACTTCTAGCTGTCTCCACTAGGGAGCCATTGATGTGCAGTGGGGAGTGATCAGCGTAGGCCCTCCTGAAGTCCATTATCATCTCTTTTGTCTTATCGACATTCAGAGACAGATTGTTGTTTAAGCACCAGTCCGCTAGTTGCTCCACCTCCTCTCTGTATGGTGCCTCATCATTATTACTAATGAGGCCCACCACTGTCGTGGTGATTCTTTGCATCACAGGTACTGTACCAGATCTGTAGTACCACAGATACTGTACCAGATCAGTAGTACCACAGATCACAGTACCAGATTTTTAGAACCACAGGTAATGTACCAGATGTGTAGTACCACAGATCAATGTGCCAGATACTGTACATAGATTTGAGCTTGTTAGTATAGAGGAGAGTTTGCATGTGACTCTGTCTCTTGTCTTTCAGGACACATGGGCTTTCAGAGGGCGCCTTGTAAAGGGGGAGAGGACCTCACTGTGATCACGCTTGCCAGACCAGGCCTTGAATATTGAACGAATCATTTGTACGTTCTGCATTTATAAAAAATCTTCTCTATTATTCATTTTACAAATTTCTAATAATTTATAACTCTGCCTTGTCATTTAAATTCTAGTCATTTGTAATATCCTTAATAACTCAAAGCATTACTGTATATCAAAGTGCCAGGAATGCAGTTACATGCAGAAAAATGTATGCATGTATTAGTAGATTCATGAAACTTTATAGTAGAAATGTGAACCATTTTTTAATAGTATTGTTGCGAAAAATCTTGCCTCAAGATTTAGCAACTACCTCTTTTCATTCTAGGGTTATAATTTGTAGAAACAAACTAATATTTCAAATTAAATAATACAGTACTATTGGGAGAGGGTAAATGTTAAGAGGGAAAAGTAGGTAAAAATACAAAAGAGGCAGGTTATAAAGAAATGTTTTAACGTAATTCTGCTAGAATTCATAAACTGATCTAAAAGTTAAAGAGGATTGTTGGAAGGCACTAAAATTACTGTAGATAGCAAGAATGCACTTTAAACAATGTGTGTATTGTTTGTATTTTAAAATCATAAACAGATTGTTCAAAGAGCTTTTGAGTGTTCTCGTGACTGGGCTTTTTTTTTTTAATTGTACGTCAACAGAATTTGATTTAGTTTAGTGAATGGCATGGTGTAGTACTTAGGATTGCCACCTCGCAGTGCTGGGGCCCTGGGTTCATTTCCAGACCTGAGCTCTGTCTGTGTGGAGTTTGTATGTTCTCCCCATGCATGTTCCTCCCACAGTCCAAAGACAGACTGGAAGGTGAATGACTTCTGGAAATTTGTCCATGGTGTGTTTGTGTCTTTGTGTGCCCAGTGATGGACTAATAATCATGAAATTATTTTGCTTATCTTATTGTTCTTTATAGCAGTTCAGAAATCAACGCAGTTTTGTCCAGCAATCTCCAGGCACAATTGTCGTTTTACAGAAAACTGTCTGTTTTCTGCCTCTCTGAGATTAATTAGCCCCCAGTGAACTCTGTCTGGTAGATCTCATGAATATGCAAATACGAAAGTACCGTGAAATTAACTGTCATAATCACAACAATGAGAAGAGTCTACAGCCGTGTTCAAAATGTCCTCAATGAAGAACACAGATTCACAGCATCCCTCATTACTGAAAGGGTAGAGTAGTAATACTGACAACTTTTGAGACAAAGGATTTGTGTTTTTCATATGTTACCTTTAGTTGGGACCTTAAATTGGAAATTTACTGGAATGGAAGCATGCAATTTCTTATCATCTGCTCATAGATTGAAAATTCAGGAATATGTTAATGACTGTGTTTATAACCACATAGATCTCAATGACTCGGTTTTCCTTCTAAACATCCTTCTACAGTTAGAAAGCCGCCAAGGCAGAAAAGTCCCAAAGTACTAGCAGAAAGAAGTGAGGCTTTTCTATGATGAAAATGATTACAATCATCACCCATTTCAGAGTACTTTTGTACCTTTCTTGTTGTCAAACAAAATGACCTTATTGTATTGTTCATTTTAACAATAGAGCAACTGTTAGACTGTGGATGTATATTCTGAATGCTTAAAAGTAAAAGCTGTCCAGATGACTAAACCCGAATAATGAGGAATGCAGTATATACTGTACAACAATGCAGAAACATGACATAGGATTTGTAGTTTTCTGACAGAGGCTCCTAAGACCAGATCAGATAAGAGTGAGAGTACAGTAGTGCTGTATTGACAGCAAACAAGTAACACTCCCAAAGCATAAGACATTTCTAGAAGCAATCTGTGTTTTTTTTTTTAGAGTTAGTCTTAAGTAATATTGAGCAGTATAACAATGCAGCTCTTGATAAAAATAGGTTCCACAGTGGAACTGTTGAAATCAGTACTTTGTGTTCTCCAGTTGAGGTTGTCCATAAAGATTCAATGAAATCTGCTTATGTGAAGCTAGGTGAATGCTTCCCATATTAAGGATTATAGGAGTCCCCAGTCATGTGGTCCAAACCAATACAATTAATTTCTTTTAAGAATCAGTTAATTGAGATCCTCGATTGACTAGCTACTATCCTCCAAAAGAACCAGAGGGGTCAAAATAGCTTCTCTCATTTGTAGCATTCCTATGCTCTTTACTCCTTTGTAGTCCTTTTCTGGGCTTTAAATTTCACATTGGTAAGAATATAATACAGTAATGCTTATCCTAATACAAATTATAAGTGACTTCATAAATTTACTGTATGCTTCTAAGGTGGATTTTGGTTATTTGTGCTTGTCAAGTAACATAAAACACAGCAGTTCTTTTTCTAATGATAAAATAATAGGAAAAACAGCTCAAGGTGTCTCCAGAATATCATGTTTGGTAGGTCCAAATGCATTGTGACTAAACTAGGTTTTGACTTATTTGCACTTCTTATACCACAAATGGACCTTGTTCCTTTACAGAGTTTATTCTCTGTAATGTCGTGCAAACAATCTTATTCGTTTGGAGACTGATGCTGTGTGCTGCTGTGAGAGGGTGGTGGGTTCAGATGAGGCGGAGACTCTTGTCAGAAATGCTGTACACTCCCAAGAAAGCCCCTGGGAACGACCTGCCATCCTCAGTCAACATGACCAATTAGTGCAAGAATATTGCAGTGTAAATTTACAAGAAGGAAGAGACCAATCGACTAAGTGAGTTTTAGAGAAGTATTCAGAGAGAGAATTAGTTTTGGAGATAGTCTCGGAAAAAGACTTGCATTTGAAAGATTTCTGGGAAGCTAGTAAGCAGTTTAGCAGCCCAGCTACAGGCTTTTGATGAAGGAGGTTAGTAGCTCAAAGAGGTGTGCATGTTTTGTTTTTTGGGTTTCTCTCACTATAAATAAAATTCTTTCGTTTATGGCTGTTCTTTGTGTCTGTTGTATCTTGACCTGCCTGCCAGTGTTCCTGTTTGTGACATCCAGCTCCAGGGTGTGTCACAACTGTCTTCCACACCTCCCTTTGGAATCTGTCTCTGAGATATTAATTTTCTCATCCTGCCCTTCCTCCTTGACATTTTCTGTTTTCACTGTGTCCACACCCTACCTCTTTCCCTCATATTTCTGCTCTCTCCCTCTCTCTCTCGCACATCATAAGATGGCTTGGCAGCCAAACCATTTGTTTTCGTTCTGTTTCATTCTGTTTTTCAGCATCCAATTGAACCCGTTCATGACAGGTCTACTAAAAAACATTAGCACTAGCTAATCTCTCACAGGTGCTTGGTTGTGCTAATATCCACTGATACCACAAATCAATGCACAACCCCAAATTGACACAAACAATCATGTACGTGGGTAGACATTGTGTTGGAGGATTAAGGAATTACAGTAATGTTTGTGTTGCTGCAACACAGATGATGAACAGAACTCAAAATGTCAGCATCTAGGTGTGCAGGGGTTATACCTCTGACACCAGCAAGAAGACTACTAAAGCAGACATTAATGGCCTCCTCATTTTATTAAATAATGTGCTAGTCATTACGTACTGATGAATATACATACTGTATCTAAAGTGATTCAGTTCTTAATTTAGGATTCTGAAACTTTCTGATTGAATGTTGCGTCAGTATATTGTCTGAATAAAGAATAGAACCAAACAGTTTATCATTAAAAATTAAAATAAATTCCAGTGGAGAGGAATTACCTCGTTTCAAGAATATACGGTACATAATGCACATCATATAATCTGTGGAGATTTGTAAATTTAACTTCTGCCCTTGTTTTTTTTTTGTTAGGCCCTTGTTTTTGATTTTTAGCCCCGTTTTTTTTTTTTGGAATTTTTTTTAGGATTTAATTTTTTTTAGGTGAAATCGGAAAACTATCAATTGCACATTTCAAAAACGTACACGTAAAACCAAATGCAGATGCTTCTATCACAGTACCTATGGTAATTCCATGCCCTGAATAAAAAATCATCACATTTCTTTTAGTTCATAATACGTGGATGATGAAGTTCTTGTTCTGTTCAAGGCTGGGAATGAACATGAGAAGTCATGTGCTGTAAGAGGAAACACAAATAGGACTAAGTAAGCGGTGTGTATGGGCCTGCGTTTCCTTTACCGTCCTGAGCAGATACATCGCACAGCAACTCTGAGACAGTAGAGACTGGGGCTCCGATTCCCAGCCCCTTTTCTCTCACACAGGCGGCTCTGTTACCCAGAGCAGAGCAGCACCTCGCTCCTTAACTGCAGGCAACTCGGAAAACAATTTATACATTCACTGAAGTCTGGGACTCGTCCAGAACTTGAAGAAAAATAAATGCACAGAAACTGCATAGTTTCCTGGTGATACACTGCACCCCTAATACCTCAATGAGTTCCATTTGTTGGAAGGAAATGGTTGACGAAGATATAACGGAAGAATCACTGCAATACATTTTACACCTTGTCTCGAATTTAGCTAAAACACTGCAAACCTTGATAGCGCTTGTTTCTAAGTAACTTTGCAATCCAGTGGTTAATTATTCCTGTTTTTGTGCCTGGCACTGATGTATGAAGTGTTTTTACTCACACAGACTGCCTTGCAAGAGCAAATGCAATTGGAGACTAATGCTAATCTCAAATATTATATCCATTAGTTATAATTATTAACAATGTAAACGTAGACCAATATGTTTGACTTCTCTAACACCTAAGGTGATGAAAAAAATATTCAGGACTAAACTAAAGGGTCACCTATATAGAAATAAGATCCTGGACTTTCTAAATCCATATTGATGAGCTAGTCTAGGTTTGAACTAACGTGTTAAGAGTTCAGCACCAGTGCCAGATACAGTATATGTAAGTGGTGCATACAGTGCACTTATCTTTTCATAAATTTCCTTGAAAAAGATTTTCAAATCGTATGCCATACTGTAGTATTGAGGCATGTGAATTGAGAAGAGTTTTAAGAATAGAAAGCAGTGGGATAAGATAAGGAGAGAACACTCAGATTGGGGTGATGAAATTAGTGGTGTACCACATTTCACTAGGAATGACAAACACTCAAGACAAAAGCGTCGTGTAGCGAAATTGTGGCTTAACCTGCTTGGCTGAGGGCTGGCCTCCCGGCCAGAGGACAAGGAGACCAGGGCCCCCTAGAAAACCAAGCAGGACCCCCAAACCACCAATGCAGGATTATGAAGCATGGAAAAGGTAAGAAGAATTCGTGGTGTGAACTGTGGGTCATCGCAGAGGTTGGAGAACAGCTGAGGGAGTGTTTGTTTAGGGTCACTGTATGTAAAGAAGGAAGGCTTCTGAAGACCTAGGTGAGTTGCTTTTTAAAATAAATACGTATGAGCATTAAGAAGGCAGCCTTGAGTTGGAAGAAACGTCCAAAAATAGCTCCAGATTTGCAAGAGGTTTGTAAATGGGAAAGGAAGTCACTGGTATTATTAAATTGACAAAAAAATGGCGGTGTTATCTGAATGGTTAAGGGCCTGAGTTCCCAATTGTATCCCCAAAAGCAGCAATGGAATTTGGAGACTTGTTCGCTGTATTCGTACTGTGAATAGAATGAGGGATGGAGGTAAACGATAAGAGATGGATAGGAGACTACTAGCCTTAGTAGATAAATGAAATGACAAACCCAGCTGTATGGACACAACTGTGCAGAAATAATCAGCACAGGAAACAGGCCAATTAAAAAAATCAAGGCTGAGGTGTGGATGTTTACACTGCTGTAATGAGGTGCAGAGAGAAAAGTTAAGAAGGAATTTAAAATTAATTGTAGCTAGCCTTCATCTGGAGGAGGACCCAAGCCTGAAAAGGATCTTGATTCTGGTTAAACCTGCTGGTATATTTTGATTTCTGCAAGATTAACAGGCATGCTCTTTAACGGCTTTAAAGAGAGTTTTTTTTTTTGCAAAAAAACAGAACTAATAAATATGAAAGAAAAATTGAAAAAATATTGCAAAAGCATTCAAACCCTTTGCTGTTACAAACGTTAATTAATTCAGATGCACAGAAGTGTCTCAATGTGCCACACAATAAGTTGAGTGGTCCCTGTGTGCATTAATAGTGGTTCACATGATTTATTTACAATAAATACACCTGTCTTTGCAATGTCCCTCAGTCAGGTAGTGAATTTCATGAAAGGATTCTACCATGAAGATCAAGGAGCTTTCAAAACAATATCTCTTACTATCTCTTTGAGCATGGTGAGAAGTGGAAGACAAGCAGCTACTGGCTAGATCAGGCTGTTCATACAAACTGAGCATCTGAGCGAGAAGGAAACTGAGTAGGATTGCCTCTGTCATGACTCGTCCCTTCTCCCGTAAGTCCCCTTTGCATTCCCACGCGTACTAAATTCCACACATGCTCATCCAGGAACTAATCATCCAACCATGGCTCTCTCTTTTCAATAATTTAACACTCTTCACCGGCTGACCTATGTTCACTGTTGAGAAGCCTTCCACAGCTTTCTCTTGTGCACTCAAATACTCTTGACCTGACTCCTTGATTACTCGACCTGGTTCTCCTACTTTTGACTTCGCTCTTGCCTAACAACTTGAATTTGGAATCTTGGATTTACTTTTGCTCGTAGTACTTTTTGCTTTTGCTCACGGCTTCGCACAGGTCCGACAACTCACCCCTTTCAGAACTCCTGACAGCCAGCATGTCACGTTTGAAAGAGTTGCACAGTTGCAGTGGCTGAGATGGGAGAAGCTGTCCTGGAGTCTACAATATCTCAGTCACTTCACAAAGGTGGCCTGCATGAAACTGAAAAAAAAAAAAAACATCTCAAATCCAGCAGGGGGACTACAACAAAACACCTCAGTGATACTGTAAGCACGTGGCAAATGTTTTTGTGGTCGGACAGGACAAGACTGGAACTGTCTGGTCTAAATGTAAAGTGTTACATCTGACGCAAAGCTAACAGAGTGCAGCACTCACTCAACACCAGCCCTACAGATGTGGCAGCATCATGTTCGAGTTCTGCTTCTCACCAGCAGGGACTGCAAAGCTTGTCAACACTGATGGGAACAGGGGTGGCACAAAGTACTGCCAACTCTTAGAAGAAAACATGCTTCAGACCTCAGAGCTGTCCCAGAATTCACCTTTAAGCAGGACAATGATCTGAGGCATGAAGCCAGAGCTACACTGGAGAGGCTTGAGCGTAAGAAAGTGAACTTCCTCGAGGAGCCCAGTTAAAATCCTGAGTTGAATCCTGTTTCATTTCATTGGTTGTTGTGAAATTGGAAAGCGTCTAAATTACAGATTAGATGGAGTTATTTGGAACAAAATAAAGGATTTTGATACAAAAAACGTTTAACACAGACAGTAGAAACTACAAGCACATTCTCAAAGGAGGTGAAATCAGTGTACAATGAGGTTAAAGGCCTTCAGTTGATTGTACTTATGTGTGCTTATAGAACTATACAGGATTATTAACCTGGACCTCCCTACACATTCTCCAATTGCTCTTCCACACAGAGCTGATTATTTTATCAAAATAGCTTATAATGCTGAATAGTACATATTTTCCAAGGATTTGCTGTTACTTTAAAGCTGTTAACTCTTTAAAACACACCAAATGACTAACTATTACTACCTTGAGAAAAGCTATTATGAAATTTACTGAGAAAATACTCCACTCATGTCAAAGCCTTTTCAATTTGTTTGGAAGCTTCTAAACAGACAAGTGCTTTAACATAGCACATACTCACTGCCAGTCACTGAAAACTAAAGAGAAGTTGAAAGGGATCAGATTTAGTAATTTTTTCTGTGGTCTCTGCAATCCCGTTTCCCTTCCCCAGTCTTTTATTAAACGTATGTCTGGGTTTTAGGGGTGGCACGGTGGTGCAGTGGTTAGCGTTCGTGCTTCAAAGCACTGGGGCCCTGGGTTCAATTCCAGACCTGGGGTGCCATCTGTGTGGAGTGTGTATGTTCTCTCCGTGTACACTTGGGTTTCCCCTGAGTGCTCCTGTTTCCTCCCACAGTCTAAAGACATACTGGTAGGCTAATTTGCTTCTGGGAATATCGGCCCCGTTGTGAGTGTGTGTCTGTGTGTGCCCTTGTGTCCTGTCCAGGGTGTACACTGCCTTGTGCCCCTTGCTTGCAGGGACAGGCTCCAGCTCCCCTGTGACCCTGTATTAGTGGTTAGAAGATGGCTTCACGTCGAACAGAAATTACAGACACCAATCAGCAGCACAAGACAATTATCCCCCGTGAGAACCGCACAGCACACAAGAGGTGTGCACGACCATGAAAAAAGGTCGAAAACACAAAGAAAATGGCTACACGTGTTGAAGTGGCCATTTAAAAGCAGCCTGGACATAATGAGCAAAGCACGGACATGGAGGCCAGAGGCCAGCTGTGGTGGGAGCCAGGTGAGAAGGGCTCACAAGTGGTCGACACCGTTTCTCACTTTCCTCCACAACATCTAGCAGCTTTCCGCTACATGAAACTAGCGGCTCCCTCCCGCCCATCTGCCACCAGGCCCAGCGCCGCCCAGGTGGACTGCTGACTGGCGGGAGTGTTGATGTGGTCGGCTCGCACTAGATGCTACCCGGCAGCTGTGGCTCCCGGGCCCCTCCCCTCCCCTCCACACACACGGAATTCCAGCTCCCTGCCTCCCCATCTGACAGATGAGGAATTTTCAATCCGAGCGTGCAGACTTCTCTCATTCACCATTGCTCTGATCCCTCCAGCGAGAGTGGCGCAAAAATGCTCTGGACTCGGATAATCCTCCTGTCCTTCCTTGCGACTGTCTTAATTTTGGCAAGTAAGTAAAGCGGCCAGCCTTTTTCGAAGATGAGAACTGCACTGGGAATAAACATCTTAATTTCATGACCGCGGCTTTCGTAATTCACGACAACAGGAATTCTTCTTTTAAAATGACTGATGCTGTCCTTTTCTTATCTTTTCTTCTTTCAAAACCACTGATGCTGTATTTTTATACAGGCCTTTTGCATTAAAATAGGACACAAAAACTGAATCTACTTTAACTGCTATTTATGCATGAATTATTATATTGCAAGTTTTCTTTCTTATTGGATTTCCACCAATGGAACCTTTTCCTCACAAAATCTTTCTCATTTCTCAAGTTGCCCGTGAAGCTGGGAGTGCAGCAGTCCGAGATGATAACACAGACGTCAAACCAAAGAATGCAGAAAGTAAGTACAGCAAAGCCCTCACTTTATCTGGTGCTTAAATTAGCTGTTGGGACATATGTCAGGAGTTTTTAAAAATCTGATTTCAAATTGCAGAGCTGAAAAGGATTTTCATGCCTGAATCAGATGCATCCAGCTTCTTTAAACGACGTGGCAAGAGATCCACAAAGTCCAGAGATGAAGTGAATGGTGAGGCTGTTTTTTTTTTTTTAAATATTTTCAACTAAGTTTTTGTTCCACCTCACAGTTCCCTAGAGGCACTCCAAGCATTTATGAAGGAGGGCTGCTGAAAGCATGTAGCCCCGGACTAAAAGAGGAATTCTGCTGAAATCATTTCTGTAGAAATGATCTGACACTGCCTTTTCTTTTGAGCATTGTGATGGGCAGATTCTGGGAACAGATGATAGCTAGGATTTAAAAGTGAAACGCAGGTGAACACATTGGAAAGTCCATGTTAGCCTGAGGAGAAAAACAGCTGATGTGATTGCATGCAGAGAGGGTTGTGTCCAAGTGGAAAATGCATTTCTCAGAATGAGCAGAAGTGGATCGTCTGAGGCACTTCTCTCTGCGAGTGAGGTTTTCAGGTGCTCGGTGTGTTAAAGGAGTTATAGAATGTGCCTGACGCCCACAGGCAGCGCAAGGAGTCACAGGATAGAATGGAGAAGCCAGCACCCAAAACCTTTTGATACGTGTGGAAGCAGTTCCACTCTCCCTCTCCTTTTTACACTCCTGCATCTTTCAGGCACCCGAGAATAAAAACAGTCTGATTGGACTCGGTTAAAAAGGGATTTGACAGTTTCTCTCTACCCTGCCTTTACTGCTGCCGTCACGCCTGCACGCTCCGCTGAAATTACAGTGCTAGCCCAGGTTTGAGAGAGGGAGCACTGTTGGTCTTGTCGTGAGCAGGAATGAAAATTAGCCCGGAAAGTTGAACAGTTTTAGCCCCAGGAGTGCGAGAAGGTGTTTACGCCGCACGGCTGTAGATCACACAGCCAGACGCTGGCCTCTCACTTGTGTGACGTGGGGGAAGGGGTGAAGGCCAGTGAAGATCGGCTGTATTTAAGGCTCCAACAACCTGTTTTGCTGGATAAGTACTTTACTTGTCTAATATCCATATTAGACTTCCACCTTCAAGCAAATATTCAAGAAGACATGTTCTGACATAAAGGTTGTTCTCTGGGAAGGCCTCAGATAATCATTGCACTATTTTATACTTGCGTACACTGTTGGTATCTGGTCACATCTAGAAGAAAATCAACTTTCAGACTCTTTCCAACTATCCTTCAACCTCTTGAACTCACCTCACACTAGTAATCCAGCTGTGACTGACTTCCTCAAAAACTGCACTTCTTAAAGCATCTCCCCAATCAGACGCCCCTTACTGCTATTTAGCTGATTAAACCACAGGAAAAAAAGATTGACAAAGTAAGAATCTGAAGATGCTTAAGAGCAAACACGAGGGTCAATTCTCAAGATGAGTCTTTGAATTCTAATAACGACAGGAAAATATTGAAATGAAAAAGATGACACAGTAAAAATCAATCTATAAACTGATTAATTGCGGTTATACTGTAACATTTTAAATGTAAAAATCAATCTATAAACTGATTAATTGCGGTTATACTGTAACATTTTAAATGTTATTCCAGTTTTTATCCAAGAAAATACAGTATGATGGGATGGTGAGAGATAAGGTGGTATGGCATTTTCCAGCTTTAAAATTCCATAATATCCAAACCGATTCCCTTCCCTCATCCAGACTGTTAATAAAACAGGCACACGGGCACAGAAAATCCAAAGCAGTAAACGGGAGAAACATCCACCCCCTTTTCTGTGCAAAACAAATGCCTTGCGATGACGAGCAGCCCTGCTGTTTCTGTCCAGAAGAAGCAGAACGAGCTCCACGCTCCTGCGCGGTGAACAGCACCTGCTGCTGCGGCCAGACCGCTCAAGGCCAGCCTGCTTCCTCAATCCAGTGGTCAAGTGGGTTTGCTGGTGTTGACCTTTGGGTTGGCCATGGGTTTTCACCCGTCCCACTTCAGTGTCGCCTTTGGGCCAGTATTTGCTTTTCAGGGTTGTCTTCAGGCCTGCGAATGCCCAGGGCAGCCAGACCTCAGGCAGCCACACAAAAGAACGATCACCGAGTTGCAGAACTGACCACGGATTCGCCCCATTGCTCATTGCTTCAGTGCCGAGTGAAAACCGCATCGTTCGAGACAGGATTTAAAAACCGTTGAGCCTGTGATAAATCTGTCCTGCGCACAGTCACATTTTTCATTGACACCATCATTCTGAAAGTGCAGGTGATTAAATGTGTGATGCACATGTTCTCAGCCGACATGGTACATGCTGTTGCCAATGGCTGCTGTGGCCAAATTTTACTTTCCTGCTGTAATGAAAAAAAAGCTCCATATCTGGCTTCCTCATATTTATATCGTCCAGGGCATTTGACTTCCCACAACCACAGGTTAATAACACAAAAGATGTAGGTAAAGCCTTTCTTTGGAGTTCTGACTCTTGGCTTCTGAGGAGGTCACGAACGTTCAAGAAGAACAAGAGAGGCTGTAGAGGGAATTAAATCCATGACTCTTGTGCAAGTTGCCCACTAACACCTGAGTAAGTGCCTCCTGAGCGGACATTGTGATGAACAGCAGTTAACAGAAATGAAAAGCTCACTTGTGTAAGTTCATAGTGGGCACTGATCGCTACAGCACATGGTATTTTGCACAGTTCAACCAACGACCCTCTGATTGACATTCATTCATATTGTGATTTTCTACACCTTGTTTTGGAACGCAAGTAGAAACATATCCAGATGTTCTCCTCTGGGAATCATACGCAATGGTTTACATGAGAGCAGTGTCATGCTTCTCATTGAACTGACCTAGCTTCCTTTCAAAAACACATTTATTCTATCAGCTGACCAAAATGGCTTGGTTATTATTGAAGGAGTGTGTGAGCCTAAATATTTTTTGTCTCAATTCACAGCTGAACACAGGCAGAGACTAGCTGCTGACGAACGCAGAAGGGAGTACTACGAGGAGCAGAGAAATGAATATGAAAATTTTGTTGAGGAGGAGCGTGATGGTAAGTCTCAATGAGATCAACACAAAATCATAATTATTGGACCTCATTAAACACAGTTCCCCCTGCATAGTTAATGCACAAAGCTCCTCTAATCTCCACAGCAAAACAGCTAACAAGAGAGTTTTATCACAAAGACTAAAAAGGTTTATTTACTGTAAATGCTTGACTGGGAATAACATAAGTCATGCAAAGTGGAGTTTCAACACCACACCAGAGTCCAAACACTGTTTTCCACCCCCTCCCCCAAATGAAAGTCCAGGTCAATATCCTCCTGGAATGGATGTGTCCTTTAATATCTTGAATTATCTTGGAAAGTATTTCTCAGTACACAAATTAGAAAGAAACATCCAGAACAAAAACAGGAAAAAACAGACTATTGTCTTTCTTCAAAAGTCAGTTTCTCAAGCTGTGGCACACCTTGGATGTAAATGTCTTTTTCTAGGACTTCTCTACAATGTCTACTGCCTCAGATAAAAAATTGAAAATGATTGAACAAATATTTAAAAATCTGCATGACGTTTTATCTGAAGACAGGACCTGTGTTGATTTTCTCAGCCTTCAAAAAAAGTTATAAAATGAAAAGAATAAATTTACTATTTTTACTGTAGTATTTCACTACTGCTGGTCCTAGATAGGCTTCTTATAATGTTCACAGTTTTAAAAAAACATTACATTACATTTCAGGTACTTATGTACTTAAACAGTACTCATAAGAAACAGATTTAATAAAAATAAATGCACGTTTTCTATCAAGAGGAGGGTTTCAATCTCTGAATGGCCAGAATTTGCTGAATAACAGCTATTTCAACCTATTAAATGAGCTTTTTCTATAGCGGTCAATTTAAACACATAGGAAAGCTTCAGCA